CTAAATAAATAAATATAACCCCCGACCCCCCCTTCACCACAGCCCCAACCCTACATAAATACACTTCCCAGCCTGCTCCAGCTGAACTGTTACTTCTTAAGGAAGGCCTGGCTGGAGCGACACTTCTCCCTCAGCTGCATGCCGCCGCCGCTCTTGTTCCTGACAAAACCGAGCAGTGGCTGTCCTGCCCTGCCCTGCCCGATAACCGAGGGTGGCAGCCAGCCAGGGTGGCGCTCCTGTTTACTCCTGTGTTCGGCAGCTACACTGGAGGAGTGGAAGAGCACATATTCAGAATGTTCCCCTGTGCCAGCAACAGAAGCCCAGATAAAAATAGGAAACTGGTGTCCAGAAGCCCTGTCACACTTCTGTCGCTGGCCCTGGGGTGAACGGAGGTGGCAGGAAGGAAGCGCAGCGCTGTGGGCAGGTGGGTGCCCTCCACCAGCTGCCCCTGAGCGTGGGCGCCAGCGGCAAGGGTGAAATCACAAAGTGTGTCAGGTTGCTTTTTGCCACTCCTGCACTGACGCCTGTGAGCAGATCCCTGAAACTGATGATGAAATTGTTCTGCTGGGTTGGATGATAAAACAGCCCGCTGTAGATTAAACAGTCCCTGGGACAAGCCACCGGCTATCAGGACTGCCACTTGGTGAGAAAGAGAGCATCCCACAGGAAGTCACTGCAGTATGGGCGACATAACAACTCAATGTGGCTAGTCCCCCACAATGGATCATCCCCGTATGCAAATCGCAACCTCGAGGGACGCAGGGAGGACATGCACAAGCCTCCATCCTTCCCCTAACTCGCCCCACTCGGGAGGAGAAGGAAGAAATGCTCAAAGGCACCACCAGATACAGGTGCTCTGGGGTAACTGGCTTCTATCGCACCATAATCAGTGGCCCTTCTTGGAAATAAGGAAGATGCCCTTTGGAGTTAATTCCTCTGATATGTGTGCGCGCGCACACACACACACACACACACAGCCAAAAGCTTTGGCTATAGAGCATCTTGTAAACAAAACGAACACACCCTAAAGTACTCTACTTCCATAATGCGAATATAGATTTAATTGCATTTAGACTTCGGTTCCATCCCAGGAATTCTGCCGGGTAACAGCAGCTCGCGCCTGGAAACGGAAATGATTGAACGGAAACTGTTCTGCTTCAGCCACATCGTAAGGAAGCAAGACTCCCGGAGGGGACAGTCATGCCAGGGCAAGTCAAAGGCAAAAGAAGGAGAGGAAGACCACCCATGAGCTGGATCAGTTCCATAAGGGAAGCCATGATCCTGAGTTCACGAGAGCTGAAGGACACTCAGTCACAGGGATGACAGAAGCTGGAAACAATTGATAGCACAGAACGACAACGCATTTCCTCAACATAGTTTGTCTTTTAGGAATTATGCAAGGCATATTTTAAAGCTGGCATGTATAGAATGGTCCTATTTTTCAGATGTAATTCTCCCTTGCAACGTTTCTTGCATATGTTTTATATTTATGCACACTCAGAAGATCTGGGAAAACTTTTGGAAGGACTTACACATATGGTCTGGGGGTATAATGAAAAATGGGTTGGGGAATAGGATGATTTTGACAAGACTGCCGTCCTAGCAAGCGCACTCCGGACTGCAGCCTCTCTCACAAGGCCATCCAGTAAAGGGATGATAAAAAGTCACATGTCCTGTTGCCATTTCTGGCATTTTTACAAGGGGACAGGCAGACAGGGAAGATATTTTCGGCATCGAGTTACCACTCATGTTTGCATCAGTAAAACGACCTGTTACGCACTTCTCCATGGGGGCGGCCAGGACTGGCTCCGGCATGGCCTTTCCACACCTCAGGAGATCCTCTGCTCTGATGAGGGAGGCGTTGCCCTCTCTCACGTTGCCCCACAGTTAAAATTAGATGGGAAATTTAGGCAGCCAGGAGACTCTGAGTCTGGTATCTTTAAAGAACACAAAACAGCTCGTAACAGACAGTGGCATAATCCTAACAGGAGCTGCGGTGGCAAAGGCTAAGGCAGAACTACTGACCATGCCAGCACCGGGTCTAACACAGGAAACCTGGCTGCCTTTAATGAGGCATATTAAATTTAATACAGGCAAGCTGGATTACATTTGAGGCTCTCAGCAGCACGTCTGACTACATTTGAGCTCCCCGCCTGCGGCCATCACTGCTCAGCCTTCACCAATGGCTGGGGGCTCCCAAGACAACATCTCTAAAGTATTTTGTGAAGGAAGTTTTTCTGCACTACGGAATCTACTCCACTCAGATTTCAGCCTTTGTCCTCACCTCTAAAAAGCCCCAACAGATGACTCTGCTCTCCGGGAGCTTGCAGAGGATCATCTACTGATTTCCCATTAAGTGCATTTCCTGCCACCACTCCTGCGAGTGACAGCTTTGGCTACGTAAGAGGTGGCAACAATATGGCAAGGTGGATCGGTCTCAGACAGGTCTCCACTTCTTGTTCAAACGTCCCCTTCTTGTTCAAATTCACCACTTGCATTTAGAAACACAAGCACCAGTGTAATCACAATAACAACTCAAATCTGCTCTTTGGAAACAAATCAGAGTGCTACTTGCCTGTAAAAGGGATTCTACCAAAGCAAAGAACACAGGCCGCCTTTTCATATATAAAAGAGCTGCGGACTTTGCCATTAAATACCAAAGACCCAAACCCAAAGGACCAGATCAAAAGGTTTTGCACTGCTTGCTATCTACCTGGAAAGGAGGGCCACGGTTACAGAAAGAATGAGTTACAAGACTCAAATTCTCACAAAGTTAGGGAAAGAAGTTAGCTATCTGTGGATACAAAAACGGAGCTATTACCCTCCATGTCGTAAGAAGCGATGAACAAATGTATTAGTGGGTGGGGATTAGGAAGCATAGAAAGACAGCCCCCCCCCCACACACACACACTCATTCCAAGTTTGACACTGAGCTGAATAGATTGTTATCTTGGACAAATGACTACATACCTCTGGCTCAATACTCAAAACAGCACTTGACACAGCGCCGCTGCCTTAATTGCAGAGCAGCAGGGTGAACGGATGCCAAAAGCTATCATTATCAAATATTCTACAGCTCTCCAGTGAATTCTGCAGACTTTGACTGTAATGCCATTTCCTGCACAGCCATCAAGAGATTAGGTGTGACTGTGTATCTTTTCCTTTGGTGACAGTTCAGGTTTCAGTTCTAAATGTTCCCTTCCTTACCTCTCTCACATCACTCCTCATGTTCCTCTCTTTAGCCAATTTCCCCTCTTATCCCATTAAAGCAAAATATTGGCCCCACCTGATCCAGGCGTGATTAGTGGTCCTTCCAGCTCCAGAGTCTCATCTTCATACTGGTCGTCCAACTTTTTCTTTTTTTTCTTCGTTGGATCTCTTGGCTTCCTCAAGAGGGAGAGTTCTTCCGGATGTCTGATATCTAGAAAAGAACAACAGGGAGTTACATTTTTAAAAGACACATTTTTCCATTTTTAAATGGAAAAGAGAAGAGCAATAGAAGAGCAAAAACAATTTTAAAATCTTTCTCTGTTCATGACCTTTTTAACATATACACAAAATGAGGATTTTGATTTTTCAAGTTACTACTTATAGCATTACAATACTACAGTGCTATGTATCTCTCATTGTAGAATTTTTTTAATTAATTAGATTTATATCCTGCCCCTCTCTTTTCTTTTTTAGAGAACTCAAAGCAGCTTAAACCATTCTCTTCCTCACGCTTTCAATCTTATCCCCACAACAACCGCCCTGTGAGGCAGGTTGAGCTGAGTCTGTGGCTGGTCTGAAGTTACCCAGTTGGCCTGGGGGATCCCGGTGGAGTCACCTGCATAACGAGTTGCAGGGCCGGTCCCGAGGGGGTCGGTACCGTGGCGGCCGTCGGTACCGAAAAGCCCGATGAACCTGAGCCCCGGTGTTTTGGGCGGTCAGGTTTCTTGCTCTTGCGAGCAGGCTTATCCACCTTTTCCTTCCTCAGCTTCTTATGGGTGGAAGGTTTATCCAGACTGGTATGCTTGCGCTTCTCCCGTTCCTTAGCCGGGGGAGAAGGCAGTGACTGAGCCCCCATAGAAGCGGCGCCTTCATCCGAAGGACGCTGCGGAGGATCGGCAGAGGTCGAGGAAGGACGCTTCGCCGGAGCACTCACGGTGGAGGAGCAGTGCTGGGGAGGCGTGGACGAAGAGGAACCAGGCCGTAGGAGCAGTTGGTCAGACTGCATGAATGCCTGATCCCATAGGAGCTTTCTGAGATAACTCTCCCTGTTTTTCCGCGCCTGCTTGGTAAACACCAAGCAATGACTGCATTTGTCGGTCCTATGCCCCTCGCCGAGGCAGAGGAGGCATAGATCAAGTGGATCGGCCAGCGACATTTTAGATCCACATTCAATACATTTGCGGAATGCCGCCCACTGTGCCATCGCAGAAAAATGAAGAAAAAAGGACAGTATAGAGGGAAAGATAATTTTTGTTTTATCTAGAGAGAAAAGAATTTAAGAAGAAACAGACAGAATCGGGAAGAAGAACAAACTTGGAGCAAGAGAAGTTTAAGCTTTTAGAGAAAAAACAACAAAGAGGCACAGATCTATAGCGAGAGACGAACAGGCACGAGGCACAGCGAACGGCGGTCTTCAAGACTGAGCAAAATGGCGGACACTCCGCTCTATTTATACCACAAAGCAGGAGGGGAGCGGAGTTTTCCCGCCAAAACCCGTTAGCTTTCTAATCTTCCGGCCGAGGCACTGCGCAGGCCCAGCACCCATATGTGTGATGCTCAGAGGCCACGACGAAGAACTTTCTGTTCTGGAAATGAGCATCATCATCATCATCATCATTATTATTATTATATTTCTATGCCGCCCCTTGCCGAAGCCTCGGGGCGGCTTACAACACAATAAGATACACTGAAATACAATAGAACATAATAAATTACCACTAAATACAAAAATACAAAAGATACACTGAGATACAATAATATAAAATTAAAATTAACAGTATAAAATAAGTAAATAAAGAATATAGGAGGAGGAAAGAGAAGGAAGAAGAAGTTGCCCTGGCCAGATCATATATTTTAGCAATTAAAATGATGTTTAAATAAAAAGGTCTTTACCTGGTGCCGAAAAACCAGTAATGACGGTGCCAGGCGGACCTCTTTGGGGAGTGAATTCCATAGGTTGGGCGCCACCGCAGAGAAAGCCCTCCTCCGAGTACTTGCTCTCCTAATTTCTTTCATGGAGGGTTCCCGGAGAAGGGACTCTCCCGCAGATCTCAAGGGGTGGCCGGGCATATACGGATGTAAGCGCTCGTTCAGGTAGCCAGGACCCAAGCCATTAAGGGCTTTATAGGTCATAATCAACACCTTGAATTGGGCCCGGGCTTCAATGGGAAGCCAGTGAAGCTGACGGAGGACTGGAGTCATGTGAACATAACGCCCCGTCCCCGTCAGCAAGCTGGCAGCAATGTATCAAAATCCCACCTCTTCAGACCAAGAGAAGAGTGTTGTTGAAGGTTGCGTACACTGATATCGCACCAGCTGCACTGCCTGCCAGTGTGTTTCAGAGCTCAATTTAAAGTGCTGCTTTTGACTTTGAGCAGATTGGGACCACAGGACATGACGGATGACCTTCACTCTTAGCAGCCTGCCTGCGCTTAAGACCTGCAAGAGAGGCTCTTCTCATTTGCCCACCTGTGAAAGGTGTTAGGTGGGTGCGCACAGGAGACAGGGGCTTTTCCACAGTGGCTCTGAAGAAAATAAAATGTTCCTGATGACCAAACACCAAGGGTAAGGCACTTAGTGTTTAATCAGAGAGACACCAAAGGGTTGATAATATCAAATAAACCTCTGTCAAGAAGGCCAGAATTTGTATAAATAAGCCTGGAGGCAAAAGCCTGGAGACACTCAAAAGACTTGTAGTTCAGGATAACCACATACAAAAGTAACTGAATGTTTTCTGCTGTGATGTTTTCTGTTACTTGTCAGTGCAAAATGCTAATGTAGATATTCATTATGTATAAGGACTGTGGTAGCTGGTCACTCTCTATTGCTAGTGTATACCTATAATAAAGAGTCTCTTTAAAAACAAAAATTATAAAATTATGCTCTGGTATTGCCTGTCTTTCTCACAGTCAGACAACAAATAAGGAGGACTTCTTTTTTTGTCCACAACACCTCTATGCCTCTGGAATATATTTTCTATCTATCTATCAAATTTCTATACCACCCAAATAGCCAAAGCCATCCAGGTGGTTTTCAGCAGCACATTAAAATACTATATAAAACATCCCATAGTAAAATAAAACATCATTAAAAGTTTACAATAAAAAATTTAAGACCAAATTTCAAACAAATTTTAGAAAATAACAAATTAAAATGAATCTTAAGATCTGTTTAACAGCTAGCAGGCCCAACAGATTAATTGAATGTCCTGTATTTGAGGGTAGTCTTTATCTGGTGCTGAAAAGCAGGATCCAGTGGGGAGCTCGTTCCATAATGGGGGCCTGCCACTGAAAAGACCCTTCTCCTTGTTGCTGCCGTCGAAGCCTCCCTTGGAGGTGGCAGTCAGAGGTAAGCCTCAGAAACTGCTCATAGTGTCCATTTAGATGACGGTGGGAGAGGTGTTCTGTCAGGTATTGTGGCCCCAAGCCCCACAGGGCTCTATAGGTCAAAACCAGCACCTAGATTTGATACAGTCAAGCCGTGCAAGTGAGCCAGAGATCAGCCAGAGATCAGATCCTGCTGCAGCTTCCAGCCTTTCCAATGCGGAGTGCATTGCTGAGGGAGCCCAGGGTTGCTCTCAAGGCTGCAATCTCCAGGGACGGACTATTCATCGGTTAGAGATCCACCAATGCAGTTTTTCACAAGGGCCCTGAAGACTGACTTCTTTACTCTGGCCTTGCTCCGATTATGTTTTATCAGACTCCGTTAAAGTGGCACTTGTATTCCAGCGTCTGTCCTATTCTGAAGTTTGTTGTTTTGTGGAGTTTTTGCTGCCTTTTTTTTAAACTATCGATTTTATTTTGTGTGGTTTAAAGTTCTGTTCTGCACTGGCAGGGCTCCTGCTTCTTTGAAAACTGTCTTAAATAAATAACACACCCGCAGAGACTGCACTACTTTCCCATTTGTATGGGGAAAGTCAGACTTTCTGTAGTCTGAGACAAGATGGAAGAAAAACAAGGAGAACACGGGGACACAATGTGTAGACGATGACACACCCTGCCCATCCCAGAACAAGTGAATGAACAGAGCAAGGCAATCCAGTATGAGATTCAAGTGTGCAAGTACCTCAAATCTCTAGTTTTCCATCAAGTGTGAAGTCACTGCTACTTCAAACGTGTGTACAATCTAGACTAAACAGGCTAAGCTAATAGTTTTGAGGCACACTAAACACCCTTCATAAACTTCCAGAAATAACCAAGGCCCTATACCCCATCTCTACTGTTTATATTTGCACTGCATTTTTATAAGCTACCAGAGAACTCTGTTATAATATATGAATACTATAAACAAATATATAAAGACTACTTGAAAGCTTTTCCCACAATAAATCTGTAAGTCTTTGGTGTGCCCTGATGCTTCATTTTCGTGAGGGTTTTTTGGTGAGTTTTAGTGCATCTTAGAGAGGAAATCCAGAGTCCCACAGGAGACAAGACAGGAGAGGAAGAGAGAGAAAGGCTGCTTGGTTTTCTGCGTCTTCTGTTTGTTTTTTCAGAGATGTGCAGCGTATCAGGCAGAAGCAGAGATGGATTTGGAACCCATCCACCAGGCACAGTTTTCCCAGGGTTTCTTTCAAAAGACTTCCGCCTCCTCCAAGTGCCCCTCCCCAGATTCAGTTCTTGAACAAAACTGTTTCTTGATAACCACAGCCCATCCTCTTCTTTCATTCTTCCATGAAGTACCAGCTGTTCGCATCGACATTACCCTACTGGTCTTTCTGAACCAAAATGCTGGGTTTCTAAGAGTACGCGTAACGCCTAGTATTGATTCCAATAAATTACTGTTAAGTAGTAGCAATGTGGAATTGCTTACTTGAACTGGTACCATACCTTGTTTTGGCCTGAAAATATGAAAACTGGATTTGCACATTTCCCCAGCGCTTATAATAAAAATGCTATTAAAGAGAGCTGGCCTAGTATTTTTTGACTAGGTTTGTCATGTATTTTGTTGCTATGGCCATTTCTTGACTGGAATGGCTTAGCCGCTGCGGCCAGTAGGTCGGCAACCTCAAAGCTGGATGACTGCAATGCTCTTCATCTGAAGCTGCCCTTAAAGCTGATCCAGAAGTTCCAGCGGGGGATGTGCGAGGAACCTGTCCGGGGGTATTGAGGTGCAGGATCCCCTGAGCTCGGCTCCCTGGACTCTGGCCCACTTTGGAGCGGCAGCACCCGCGTTCCTGGCAAACATGCCCGACCTCCCTGGGACTTGATAGGA